TTATTATTATAACTACAGCACACTTTCAAGGAAATCGAACTTCAGTCTACTTTTCACTCTAAATGTTTCCTGAAGTGGGACACATTCTATATCACAAAGTGCACCTCAGAGCGAGAAAAACGGACGTTTTTAAAAAGTTAATGAGTCTTAAAACCTAGAAGGATTAATCCCATGAAATAACAGTATCTTTTCAGATTGACTTTTTTTTATTCACTTTCTTCGAATAGATCTGCCAAAACACAGACCACCAGATGGTATCGAAGAAGAATGTCGACTCGTCTTTAAAATGTTTTTTAAGTCTTAGAAGTAGCCATGTCCACTTGCTGGACACTGTATTGTTGGTTTTATGTTTTGTTTTGTTTTTCTCCTCATTTATAATAAATACATGGTTGTCTGTACTACACGTTACTTACCGTAAACTTATACATCATTCCAAATCTCCACTCTTCTCGGTACAGGTTGGTGGGTTATAAAAGCATGTAGTTAACAACCTGTCTTATTCATGATGAAAATGCTAATATACGTTTACTTTCAACTAAACTTACTGCAACAAAAGAGGATATATGTCTGAGACTTGTAACAGTAAATATCTTTTTCCCCATAAAAGCAATTGGCTAGTAGCAACAACAAAAAAACAACCCAAGTTAAAATAAAAGAATGAACAACCTTTTTGAAATCCCAATTTCTTCCCTCCAGGTTCAAGAGCCAGGAAGAGATTTTGAATGAGGTAAAGATCGCAATGGATCTCCATAAGAAGTACCCAGATTTCTTCCTGGGGTACGATCTTGTGGGACAAGAGGACCCCAACTTCTCGCTGCTTCACTACCTGGACGCTTTGCTCTACCCGTCTATCCAGAATCCTCCGTATCGGCTGCCATACTTTTTCCACGCTGCTGAAACCAGTACGTATACCACGCGCAAAAGAAACATAATTTCAGCATTTGTGGGGACGTACACCTTGAAAAGAAGAAACATTTCAGTCCCTAATTGTGGTTTAGTGGTTTTTAGGCATTTAATTCTCCTTCGCATGCAGAAGCGTTGAATAGTGGGAAATTAACTTACTTTGTTGTTGTTGCTGTTTTTTGTGTTGTTTTATCTTTCGCTGCTGTTTTTTTTGTTTTGGTTATTTTTGGTTTTTTTGGTTCTAATCAAATCTCTGCGTTTTCATGTTGTATCCCATTCTGCAATGTTGGCCCTGATAAGGTAGCGAAAAGACTTTAGCTAAATTATGTAGTTATGTTGGTCACCATCTAATTACAGGTTGTCTGTCAGAAGATCTTTTCCCGAGCTGTATCTGCTTTGTACTATACACCAAACAGAAACAAAGCATATCAGATGAACAGCAAAACACAGAGGAAACAATTATGAAATCAGCTTTTACAAGGAAACTCATGCCGTATTTCAGTCTCAGAAAAAAACAACCTATAACGCCTCTTCGGGATACAAAGAAACGTTTTCACCGCATTCAATCTGAGACCGAGACGAGTAAAATACATACGTAATAACTTTGAATGTTCTGTTAACAGACTGGCAGGAGACAGAGGTTGACTACAACTTGGCGGATGCCCTGTTGCTCAACACCACAAGAGTTGGCCATGGGTTCGCTCTTATCAAACACCCGAGGTTCACAGAGCTGGCCAAAGAAAATGGAGTCGCTGTGGAGGTCAATCCTATCTCTAATCAGGTTTGTAGAGTTTTTTGTTTTGTTTTGTTCTGTTCTGTTCTGTTTTGTTTTGTTGTAGTTTGTTTGTTTTGGATTTTTTGTTTGTTTGTTCGTTTTTTGGCTTCAGATCTGATAAATTAAGTTGCACATCACATCTCTCCCCTATATTAGAAAATGATATGATAAGTTTAACGCCCCTATCAACACTGTTAGGTTATTTAAGAGATAATATTAGAGGCTGCTTTATGTTTCCCAAAATTAGTATATTTATGGGGATTTTCAGGCGCGGCCCGTCCATTGAGCACGGTCGTGTAGTGCCGCCCAAATGTTTTTTATTATTCTATTACGTAAAGCACCCACTAACATAAAATAAAAGAAGCAAGAAACAAGCACTAGCCAAATATATTATCAGAACAAGGTCCACCCTGGCGCCGTAGCTGTCATTTCTGTGTCTATAGCGTCGTAACACATCTACTATGCCATGCCAAAGTTCACACGCTTTAACTAAACACAGTAGGATATTCAACATTTGTAACTTGACCTATAAATCGCTCTTTGGGACAACCCAAGAGATGACGACACTCGTAGCGAGTTTGGCGGTACATTAATATTAATAAACGGCACATCTCTAATCTGCTCCTGCCGAGTAGTGCCGATACATAGCCCACAGTAGGCAGTCTAAAAATAAGCGCGATAGACTGTACCCTATTCAATGCCAAAAGTACATTTGTTTGTGAGCCTCGGAGTGAATTTTTGGTTCATCGTCTTGCCGCTATTTTAAGTGACTCTGTGCTGTGACCGTAAACCTGAGGGAGGTGAACGTGACATACTTAAGTCACCGTCCTATGGGTTGAGCCTTTGAATGGTTTTGTAGTGGAGTGGTGTAAGTTATTTCTGGAGTGTTCAGTTCTCATGATGAACGAATTTGAAGTTTCGCGAACAAACAGATTTTAAGTTCTAGAAATCAAGGCGACAAGTAAAGAGAATGAAAATAAAAGCACGAGTTCCTCCCTCACCAACCCAAAGATCCTAAAATTATAGCCATCTTGACAATCTTCAGCAGGCAATAGCTTAATTGTACACGCCCTTTTTTTAGACCCACGAGCCGCCCCTGGGGATTTTGCTCCTTAACGCATCTGTCTCTTCTTCCCCCTCCCCGCCCTCCTTCCAAACCTATATTCGTCGCTTTCTTGTTGCCATATAATATTGAGACTACTTGGCGATCACTTTAAAGAAATGCCTGAAGACTCATTTTGTTTAACACCATCCTCTACCAGTAAATTCAGTATGTGATATTTTTTATGGGGTCAGGGAGGTATGTACGTGGGTGAGTGGGGGGGCGGGGCGTGGGAGTGTGTGTTTTGTTGTTGTTGTTAAGTGGTTTCACAGTGTGCATTTTCTGTCTTTGTATTCGACAGTTAAGTTGAATGATGTTTCTACATTGTTCAACGTTTAGAGCCTTCTAGGGATTAGGCCCTAAAATATAAAATCCCATTCTTCTTCTTCTTCTTCTTCTTCTCTTTCTTCTTCTTCTTCTTCTTCTTCTTCTTCTTCTTCTTCTTATTATTATTATTATTATTATTATTATTATTATTATTATTATTATTATTATTATTATTATTATTATTATTATTATTACCGCCATGATTATTATTATTATTATTATTTTCCTGCTGGCCTATAGATCTATTGAGATGACTAGGTGTTTATTTCCGTCGCTCACTTGGAGCCCTTTACTGAAATTACTTGATCTAGGTGTCGTATCTTCCTGTTCTCTGTCCTGCAGATCCTGGGCCTCGTTAGAGACGTCAGGAACCACGCCCTGGTCCCCCTGATAGCAGACGACTATCCCATCGTTATCTCCTCTGATGACCCCGGGGCCTGGGAGGCCTCACCGCTGTCTCACGACTTCTACGTGGCCTTGATGGATCTGTGTGGGAGAGACACAGCTCTCACCTTCCTAAAGCAACTCGCTCTCAACTCGATACGGTGCGTAACACATGCTTTTCTGTTATGTCGTTATCAGGTTGTAGCTTAGTTTGCATTTTGTCATGGCACTGAACAAATCCCCCCCCCCCCGGACTGCCCCTGACTGTAGTGTCTTTAGGCCATTCCCAAAGGGGGGGACATTTATCGTTCATGCACGGTAGAATTGTAAATGGGCTGATTCATCATGTCACGCTCATAACTGTGCCTGATCTACAACAGGGAACTGCTGCTTTTTCTTTCCTCATCCTTACTATTGTCATTTTCCTCTACTTTTTTGTATGTTTGTCACACTCTTGTGACCTGCTATTTCCGGGGTGCCCTGATAGTCGAAGCAGACTTTGTGCTGTTAAAGTTAGAGAGGTGAGCAGAGTAAGTCTTATTCCTTGTAAAGACTTCTCTGCTGACTCCCACCCCTTGGCGCTCATATGACCTTATGCAGTTGTGAGCGCCATAAAACCCTCTACTAAAACTAAAACTAAACCAAACTGAACAAAGTCAGACTTACGTAATTTGTGAATTAATACAGAATTGAATTATGTAATGACTCCTGCTTGTTTCTCATAAACACTTTATTGAAAGTACCAAAACATTATTTTTATTTAAGCAATTACAAAATGGCATTCATTTTTTGTTGTTGAAAAAATGACAATGTTTACTTGAGTTTTATCAGAAAGGAAAAAAATGACTAAAGGCATTTGTTCAGCACCGCGACGATTTCTTCTTTTTGAGGTGTCAGGTCTGGGGAACACCTTGACGATCATGGTACACCATTTCTTCCTGTGGTTGTCTTCTCGATTTCCACTCATTTTTTATATTCATATTGTTCGTTGCAAAGTTGTTCGGGTCATCTTTGTAAGTTGTTCTTTGTTTTCATCTGCTCTTCTTTCCCTTAATCTTTCCATACAGCAGCAGATTGTCTAGTTCATTTGATCTATTTATTGGGCCAAAGAATCTCAATTGTCTTTTTCTGATTGTTCTGATTATTGGTCTTTCACAACCTGCATTACGCTTGATTCATTTTCTGAAGAAAAGAGGTAGAACGTTGTAACGGGTTGTTCAGGAATTTTGGCTGTTCTTGTGAATTTCCATTCACTCAGCTTAGTCCTAACGTTAAATACCTAGACCACCTGCAATTATAATATTATATTAAACTCAGACAACGTCGCCTTTGTTGTGTACTCCATCATAACCCCTCGGTCGCTTGGAGACTGTGCCCTGAGACGAGAGTTAATAGATGAAGAGAAAAAAATGGAAAAAAATAGAGACAGAGACAGAGACTCACACATTAAGAGAAAGAGAGAGATAGAGAGAAAGGGGGGAACAGAGAGAGAGAGAGAGAGAGAGAGAGGGGGGGGAGAGAGAGAGGAGAGAGAGAGAGAAAGGAGGGAACAGAAGGAGATGGGGAGAGAGTGGGGAGAGAGAAAGAGAGAGGAGAGAGAGAGAGAGAGAGAGAGAGAGAGAGAGAGAGAGAGAGAGAGAGAGAGAGAGAGAGAGAAATCGATCATCATCATCATCATCATCATCATCATCATCATCATCATCATCATCATCATCATCATCATCATCATCATCATCATCATCATCATCATCATCATCATCATCATCATTGTTCCTGTCGTAGCAGTTATAGCTAGCGACACGATCAGCACAAAACAACAACGACAACGGCCCCACGGCCCATTTTTTTTTTTAGTTTCTACACCTAACTTTCTCTCTTACTTCCGCCCCCCCCCCCCCCCTGTTTTTTCAAACCAGGTACAGCGCCATGTCTGACACAGAGAAAGTTGCCGCCAAAGCCAAATGGACCACACAGTGGGACAAGTTTGTGAAGACGTCCGTAGAAGGTCTCAAGCCTCACATAAATGGTAACCCCGACAAGGCCATCATCGGCTAGATTGCGTCACACGCTGACGACATTGTATATCGGACGTTTAGGGCGATTACTTCCACGACTTGACAGAAGGAGGGGAAGCGGAGGAGGGGGAGGAGGTGGCGAATTCTGAATGTACTGGAAAGGAAGAGGAGGTTTGGTGGAGGGAGTGTATGGACGATGGGAAGATAAGAAAAGAAAGTGGAGGAGGTGGTGGTGGATGTGAAAAGACGACGGGGAAGAAGAAGAGAGGAGTTTAAAAAGTGGAGGAGTAGGAGGAAGAGGCCATGAAGAAAGAGGGGGAGGAGGAAAAGGAAGAGGAGGAAAAAGAAGAGAATAATAATGCCAAAGGGTAGAATTCGTTAAAGGTGAAAAGAAAATGAAGAATGAGTGAGAAATGTCAAGATCAAGAAGAAAGTTGAGGAAAAAAAAAGTGAGGAGGAGAAGGAGGAGTAGTAATACAAGTAGTAGTGCTTTTGCGATAATTCTTAAATTAATCTACATGTTTGCTTTGTGTGTTGTTGTTTTTTTTGTTTTTGTTTTTGCAAAGTTAGCAATGCTAATTATACTAATATCTTCTGCCTTCAAACCGGACTTCCCACAACATCACTAATGGAAATATAACCCATCAAACTGCTTTTACAAAAGGAAAACAACTTTTTACTTTGCTCATTTTACCCCCAATGTGTCGCTTCTGTGTGCATGTATGGGGCAATATGGAGTGTGTTGGGCCGTGCAGTTGCGCTCATTGTCAAGGCAAAAGTTGACAGTTCACACATATATTCTAATGTTGTAGAATCCTAAACCTCTGTGTTAAAACAGTTGCAGAAAAAGCCTCCATGACGTTATACGTAGTTTTTAACAGCGAGCAGTAGGAAGGATATATGCTTGTAGTGAATCAATACCTTCACACACCGCTTCTTCTTTGGATCGATTTCTCCTTGACCGGTTTGATATTATTAATTAATGTTTTGATATTAATCTAATAAAGGATTTTATACTAATCAATAAGTCACTTGCCATTGCAAAATGCCTAGTCAAACTTTTAAACTTAGATTTATTGTAATATGGATTTACTATGAACGGTTGTGCGTGTGCCTGAAAACAGGGCCCATATGTCAGCGAAGTCACATTGGAGCTATAAAAGTGATTTAAAAAGATCACAGAACAAAATTATGTGATTTCACCAGAAAATCAAAGCTTACCATTCCTAAATCATGTTCAAATGGATTTAGTTCAGTATTATTTGTAAGTAGGATGAACAATAATTTACCGAAGGGGTGTCTAGTGCGATAAAAATTAAATCTGAAACAAAACCTAGCACAAATAGACCTTTTGTGGGTTTTCGTGTGTTTGTTGTTTGTTTTTGTTTTTGTTTTGTTTTTGTGTGCTTTTTGTTGGATGGAGGGTAGATCCAATTTGACCCAGTCTCTTAGATCTTGAGCTACATGAAAAGTACAATATTTTTTTGTATACAATTTTAAGCTTTATATCTATCCTACCCCAAAAATTATAGTGTGCATAAATACAGTTGTTTTTATTCTAAAGTCAGTACTTGCGCATATCGGGTGCAGGCCCTACAGAGAATCAGATCAGCATCACGTTTGACCTAATTTCTCACTTACTTGCATCATGATATCATTTCTGCTTTTCAACAGATAGTTTACGCAACGTTTATTCTGCACTGTACTGTCATTGACGTTTTAGACTGATGTTTATGCATACAATTTATTAATGTCAAATGTTACAACTGAATCTAGGAAGAAGGACAGTTGTTGTGCTATTGGGGGGGGGGATCAAGTTATTTGAGTTAAATGCTATTTTTTCTCCAAAACTTATGATGTTCGAACTCTATCCTACAATACCTCTAATATCCCATGAATTCCATATACCTGATAAGTGAAAAAAAAACCCAGCTGATTCTGAATTGAATATAATATACTGAACAGCATTAAAAACGCAACACTTCGTTCGCAGAGTCTGTACTCGTTTGTATCAAATGAAGACAGATTAAAAGAAATGATTTTTGAAGTTTATTCATTTTCCAACAAATGTGAACCATTTTGATCACACACATCAACTGATTTCGATACATTGTCGTCCTTCTTTCGGAGTACCCCCTTTAGACAAAGTTGCAGATAAACAAACTTTTAAATAGAAACTTTATAAAGATCTCTCTCTCTGAGTAAATTTGATGGCCATCATTAATATGTATGCAGACCAAAACACTTCTTCACATGGATTTCATAAAATGTTCATTGTTTTGTTGAGAAATTTTTTCCCCTTTTCGCGGCAGAACAATCTCCCAAAAGCTGCAGATTCGCTAAACGGCATACACTTTGAGGTTCAGTTCATCAGACACGTGCGTTACTTTAGACTTAGACATGTCCGGTACAAACACCGGCAAGTCCATGACATTCATGTTATGATCTTTCAGATGCTGTGCTGTTTGTTACTGTGGGGGCAGGAGTGTCGTGTTGGATGACTCAAAGATTCTGATTTTTCCTCGTGCTGTTTCGCGCAGTGAAGACGGCGCTGTTGTCGCAGCTTCGTTAATTGCCGTCCTAAATAAGACGTTCTTGATCTGAGTCCTGAACTTACTACTCGGCGCCTCACGCTGAGGAAAGAAACATTTCCACGCACTCATTGCATGCCTTGAGCTGTTGCTTTTGAGGAACAAAACGATTTCGCAGACTCGACAGCAAAATCTGCCTCTCTTGAGTAGGGCTGGTCTCTCGAGTCTGTCCTATTTCATGTGTACACCGGACATTTCGAAGTGTGCTAAAATCTTTATATAAGTCAAGAATAACACAAGCACTGCTTCCAAGGCAGATTTTCCCCCATGAACAAGGCGGACGCGAAAGTTGCGATCAGCTTCGCTAAGTTAAGGAGTCTAATAATGGAATATTTTTTTGGTAATTATAAAAAAGCTAGTCAGGTAAAAAGAGTTTTATTCGTTTATAATATAGCAACCAATGAACATATTTTACTTAAGCATAGTTTACGGTACAGTGACGAAAAATACTCAAGGAAATAGCAAAAATCGTGCATGGGTGTGTGAACTAACAATTGTTCACTTGTGCCTCCAAAAATCGTGACGATCAATCGTGACGATCAGAACATATTTGACTTTATTTTTAATGACCTTTCGAAAACGTTGCGTTTTTAATGGCGTTCAGTAAAAATTATTATATTTTGCAATTACCTTTATCTCAGTTTTAAAGATTGCCGACTAATGGGCCCATTTTTAGACACGCAAGGGCACATACACACAGAAACACACACAGAAACACATACACACATACACACACACACAAACACACACACACACAAGCACACACATACACAAACGCACAGACATACAAACAGAAACACACACAGAAACACACACACATACACACACACAAACACGCATACACACACGTACACACACACTCACACACACACACACACACACACACACACACACACACTCACTCACTCACACACACACACACACACGCACGCACATACCACAACATAAGACTCTCACACACAATCTTAATGGGGCAACGTGTTAATAAGAAATAAGTGTGAATCCTCTGAACAAATACTTCATTTGGTCACTTCTACAGATCGGAGCTAAGTATCAGAAGAGTTAACGTCAGCACAACAAGGCTGTTAACGGAGCTGAAATCACCACGTTCGGTAGTCAAGACTGCACATAATTTTATGTGTAAAGAAACACGCTTTTGCAGATGCCTCAAAACGACAAGGTTATACACTGCAACTGCAACGCAAAGTGTAAATCAGACAAGATCAAGCGAAGAATAGGTTGTGCTGGTTAAATGGTTAAAGACGGCTGAAGCTAGCAAATTTAACCCGCGTTATGTTAAAGGCAGCGGCGTTATGCATTGAATTATGACTTCCCAGGGTTATGTGAACCTTACACGACAACATAATAAAGCGAGGCTACCTCACTGTATGGATTTCAGCTCTTTGTTAATTATTGACTTAAAACATGACACCTTAACGTTGCACAAAAGAATTTAAACAATTTTAGATGATTTCTTTAAAAATGATATCTAGCCCTGTCTTTCTTAATGTTCAACCTTGCGCAAGACTTTAAACTATTTGCAAAGGTTTCTGTAGTTTGCGAATGTAACCTGCGCTTAAAGGCAACCATGTGTAACTTAGACCTCCAATGGTTATGCCAACCTTACATGACAACGCAATAAAGCAAGGCTACCTATATAATACATTTTAATTCTCCATGAATTATTCACTTAACTTCACTACAAAATATAGATGTAGATCAGAGTCACATTGTATGACAAACGAAGTCCAATATTACGTAATAATAATAATGATAATAATAATAATAACAATAATAATAATAATAATAATAATAATAATAATAATAATAATAATAATAATAATAATAATAATAGACTCTAATAATAATCATTTACTTTTTAAAATTTCGAGCACGAATGTCGTAAATAAAAAATAATCAACAACTTTTACTTTTCTTTTACAGCCGTGTAGCTGTTTTGAACATGACAAATTATGTATTTCATATTCATTATTAAACAGAAATTGCACAACTGCACTCAACTATTCTGTTGTGTTTTATCCTGTCAATGTTTTTGCAGTCGTTGCTATTGTAGTTCTTTTTACTGTTATCGTTGGTGTAGGCGTTGGTATTGTTTATTGTTCTTATTGGTGTAGTGGTGGTAATGTTACAAACCCTTTCCCCTCGTACCATTGGTATTTTATTGTTGATGCTGTGGTTTCGTGGCTGGGATTTTGTTGGCATTGTTGCTGATAATTTGCTGTTCTCGTTGTTGCTGCTGCTGCTGCTGCTGCTGCTGCTGCTACTACTACTGCTGCTGCTGCTGCTGCTGCTGCTGCTGCTGCTGCTGCTGCTACCTGCTGTTGCTGTCGTTGTTGTTGTCAGTTTAGCGGTTATAATTTCTTCGTTATATTTCTGATGAGGTTTTATCGTAGTCTCTTCTGCTGCTGGTATTAGAATTGTCTTAGTAGTTCTTGGGTTTTTTACGATTTCCCTCAGCATTCCTTCATCACCATCATCATCTATGCCTTTCACCCCTGGCATCGAATAGACCACATACAAGCTCCTTCCATTTATTTCTGTCCTGGGCCGTCCTATCAAGCTGGCTCCAAGTGAGCTTCATCTCTCTCATGTCCCTTTCCACACATCTCCTCCATGTTTCCCGTGGTCTACCCCTGCCTTGTGCTGCCTTGTCTGTAGGTTCCACTGCAGCGACTGTCTTATTGTGATGTTTCCCCTGGGCTTTTTGAGGGTATGACCCATCCATCTCCACCTTCTTAGTCCTATTTCTACTTCGAGTATTCCTTAGTGTTTAGTTTTCTCTATTATATATATTGGGGGAGGGGCGGGGGGAGAGGGGCTACGTTTTGCTGTTGGTTTGCTGTGTGGAGCTGTTGGTGTTGTTTTGTTAGGGCTTTTAAATTTGTTTTTGTATTTTACGTGTTTAAAAAAAGGGTCGGTTGAAATTGGGGGGAGGGGGGTATTATTTTGAGGCTTCTGCTGCTACTTTCAGATTAGATTACAGAGTTTTTGCAATGGGTTGATTCACTTGAATTTGAAGTCAATTCATGAGGAATGTAGACGTGTCGTGTGATAAGGACAATAACAAAGAGATATGGGAAAAACAATAAAAAGGGATATGATAGGAAATAGGAATGTTTATAGGGAATTGATAAGGATAACAATTTAGGAGCAGTAAGAGTTAGTCGATGGAATAGTAAAATGAAGGGGATGAAATAGTTACACAGAAGAAGTGATGATGATGATGATGATGATGATGATGATGATGATGATGATGATGATGATG